TTAAAATAAGTTCTCACAAAGTATATTTAAATCAATTTCTAATTGGATGTATTCTACATAGACAGGCATATTATACTGGACAGGAATTTTTGAAGTATATAGTTCAAGAAGAATAAGATCAAAAGATTTGGGGAAAATATAATTTTATTACATAAAGATTAATTTATTAGAAAAGCCGAGAGACTTTTCATCTGCTGGTTCACTCCCTAAAAGACTACAACAAGCAGATCCGGACCAGGCTGAAGCCAGGAACATCAACCTGTTCTCTATAGAGATACTAGACACCTAAGCACCCCGGTCACCCTTCACTCCCTCCCGGGCACCTCAGCAGGAAGGTGAATCAGAAGCAGAATATTCAGAGTTCCAAGTAGCCCCCCAATATCTGATGCAGCATCTGAAGCAATGGCTTAAGCCTTAATACCAGAATGCCAGCTCTGAATACTTTTATTTTTAATTTCATATACAATCTATTATTTAATTATTTAAAATGCATGGTTATTAATTTTAAAAAGTCAAAAACAACTCTAAGTTAGGGGGGTGTGGTTTTTCATGTTTTATTTTCCATACATTTAGTGGAGAGAGTTGTAGGGCACAGAAAAGTGTGAACTTTTATGTTTGTTGTCTCAAAAGAGCTAAATTCTTTCAGGTTTCATTTTCTAAGAGGCCTATTATACAAGCATTTTAGGTGCAGTTTTTTTCATAGTTTCTGAAATTCTTAGGGAGTTTCAGATCATAACTAAGTATTTCTAGGAAACGACAGGCATATGATTTTGAAGTTGATATTTTGTTTGAGCTGTTTCAGAAAAGAAAAATAAAGAAATGCTATAAGATAACCGAAGAGCTATCCATAGCAGCAGTGATGCACAATTTAGGACAGTCTTGCAGTGGGGAAAGAACAACTTGTTGTCCTTTTGGTCACATCCATAAACATAGGTAGAGACTTTGACTATGAACCACAGCTGTAATAGCACAGCAACTTATGGTCCAACAAATGGAGAAAGACTCATAAAAGAAAGTTGGAGCAGGTTTTCAAAGAATTATTGCCATTTTTAAAGAAAATGTAAACACTGGAAAACTTGGAATGATACATTTTTGCAAAAGGAAAGCCTGTTTTCTATTAGATTCTTTATCTGTGAATCATGTCTATTTTACATAAAAATGAAGAATAAACCTGAAAAGTATGGTGAAGGGTTTCACCAACAATTCTCAAACTTTCGCATTAGTAGAATCATACAAAGGGTTTGTTAACACGGAATGTGTTTGAATTACCTATACTTTTAAATTCCCGAAGGTTTTGATGCCTCTTGTCTTAGGCCTTGCTTTGGGAACCAGTGATCTAGACTGAGCTGTGTTTTTCAGTTTTCTCAAGAAGGTAGCAACTCTTTGCTGTCAGAAAGCCTAATCCTGAGTTTGACTACAGTGTTTCTTACAACATGAAGTCATCTCCTGACAACAGTAAACATGGTACCAAACAAATGGACAAAGGTTGTCAGTATTTTGGAAACTCCTTTTTGTCTCTGCTCTCAGACTGTTTTCATGTCTTCAATTTACAAATTTTACAGATGCAAAGGTTTATCACTTCTCTAGAAATCAGAGGTTCTAAGAGTCTCAAGCTCCTTCCTTCATTTCCAAATGCCACAAAAACATTAGTGACTTGTACTACATGTCTGTGTTCCCTAAGCCCTCCTCTGTTGAAGACTAATCACCAACATAATACAGGAGGAGGGAGTATGGCTGCCAGGGAGGTAGTCAGTATAGGGTTCTGAAGATGAGTCTGCCCACAGTAAGAAGGTACTTTTCATGAAAGCAGACCCTCACCAGATACCAAGTATACAGGTCTCTTGATCTTGGACCTCCCAGTCTTGAGAAATGTGGAACAAAAACTTGTTTGTAAGCTACCCAGTTTATGGCATTTTGTTGTCACAGCCCTAGTAGACAAAGAGTTATCATCTTCCCCATAGATCAAATTTATTTGTTAAAAATCAATTACAGTTGATAACATTGTTTTTCAAACAAAAAGCTAAGTATAAGTGAAAGTAATTTTCTTTTGGATACAAAGTATTTCTCTTTTCACTGTTACTGGAGAGTGGTAACAGAAGCAATGGGTAGTACTGAAAATAATAAAAGGACAGAAAATGACAAAACAGTGAAGTCCATATTTATCGAGATTTAAGCTCCCCAGATGTTGCAGGGCAAATGAGAGATACAATAAGGACATTTTTCATTTTTCAATAAGGACATTTTCTAAGCCATCATGACTGGAATTAACACTGTAACCATAGCCAATGCCTGTAGTGCAACTCAGAGATACTCTGAGATACTTTGAGGCTGAAGCAGCAAGTAACAATGTCAGTGTTATGCACATGGTCTACTGGGACTGAGGGAATAGATCATATGTTTAACACAATTTAGCTTACTAAACATTGTCTGAATGACTTATGCATTCAAATAAAAAACACTTTAAATATGAAAAACTTAAACCTATACAGTTATTTTGAGTGAAGTGTAACATTGTTACACTGTAGCCATTTTCTACCTAATTACAAAATTGAAGCAACCTAGTATGAGTAATTAAGTTACAATAACAATTTTGATTGCTGTTGCCAGAATCAGACTTACTGCAACAATGGATAGAAAACTTGGGAATAAACTGGGGCTATGTAAATTAATCAAAGTGTAAGTAAGCCTCTTAGTAATCCTAAAAGATGGGCTATTAATATTTAGATTAATCTTTAAGGGCCCTGTGTTGTGGTGGAAACAGGCAATGGCTTAGACTGTGACATCAAGTCCATTGGAGTCTTGAGTATTTGAGTCCCTAAGCAAATACCTGGGCTCCTGCACCCCTTGGGAGGCTCACATGAAGCTTTTCCAGTGTTGAGCCAGAAGATGGAAGACATTTCTCAGTGAAATTCTGCCTCTTGAATAAATAAATTATAAAAAAATACCAGACACTGTACCAGGCCCTGGAAAAAATTAACGAACACAGAAGACATGCACCACACTTTATGACTGCACATGGATTCACTCTCAGAAAGAATATGCAAATGGTGCAAAATGGAGACACAGCTAGAAATGTTTTGAAAAGTGGAGATGGGATGGCACCAGGAGATGTGCCACTGGAAGCTGGAGTTAATAGTTGGCTTAATTGGTTCTCAGCAACTCTTTCACAGGAGTAGTACTTCATGTTGTTTATTGAAAATAATGTTTAGTAGCAGTCTTAGTCAAAAGTGACTTGTGTGGGGCCCACTACCTGCAATCCTGTGCCCATATCCTATATGAGCCCAGGCTCGAGTCCCAGATATTCCATTTCCAATCCAGCTCCCTCCTAATATGCCTGAGAAAGCAACAGAAGATGGCTCATGTGCTCAGCCACTGACACAATATGGGAGACCGTGATAGGGTTCTAAGCTACTGTACAGCCTTATTTAGTCCCAGCCATTGCTGCTATTTGGGGAGTGAACCAAGGGATGCGAATTCTGTCTCTTAGTAACTCTGCCTTTGAAGCAAGAAAATGAGTCATTTAAACAACTGTCTATGTTCAAATTTAATGCAGAAGTAACGGTTTAAACTCTGAAAAAATCCTGTCAGAAGTGAAAAAGAAAAAAAAAATTAAAAATTGAAGGTAAGGGAGAAAACAAAGGAATTCCTTTAAGAATTGTTTAATAATTTTACCCATCTTCCTAATCTGGATTCCCATTTGTACTTATTATGTTTATGGTAAAATAGCTCCGTTAAATGTTCTGTTTGGAACAGCAGAAACCTAATCCTGTAGGGCCAATATATGATCTCATCACAGGAGTGTCCCGGGCCCAGACAAGAGGGCCAAAAATGGGCTAGTCAACTTGTGAGCTACAGGGCTACTCCTGAAGAAGCCTGAACAGATTTTGCACAGCTCACAATTAAAATGTCCACGGGAAATGCACTCCTACTTTAAGCCCAAATAACGTTGAATGGCAGAGGCCCCCGGCAGCAGTTTTGTGTTGTGACTTGAATCTTCCACATGAGCGTGTTCCTTGCAAACACTTGTCCCCAGTCTTTAGGTGAGCAGTAATCTTGGTCTTATCTTAGATAACCTGCAAAGGTAGCCTACAACTGCTACTATTGTACCTGTAGCTGAAAACCAAAACACGAAGAGGACACACGCTAGCCAAGTGTCTCTGACTTACTACCAGAATGGGGCCGAGGGAGAAGCACACAGAGAAAGATCCACGAAAATGGGAGGCTGGGACAACAACTACTGCAACTAGGAGAGCCATATTACCTTTTCAGCTGGAACAATTACACGTCGTTTGCCAGGTGGACTTAATGTGGCAGGACTGGTATTGCTCCCACTCCCCTGACCCTGTGTCTCAGTTCCTCTTTCCAACCTTTCCTTCTTGTACTGGGCTGTGAGATGGCAAAGCAAGTCGGCAGGAACTCGCTCCGCGCAGTTTGTTAAAGGACGCGCACGTGCACCTGTGGGATGGCTCGGCCTACGCACACAAAGCTCTTTGCAGGTGCGCATCCAGGAACCGGGTCGAGAGGCCGAGTTGCCAAAGGAGCGTGTGCGACTGACCCCGGCGCGGGGAGAACTTGTGGACGATAAGCTAAGAGGATCTTAGAAAGTGGCAGCATCTGCGAAAAACCCCTGGCTCTCCAGATAAACCACTCGCAACAGCCATAAAAACATCGGCAGAGGAGCGGGACAGAGACATGACAACCCCAGACAGGATGAAGACCACCTCTCCAAGCTGTCTGCCACAGTCCAGACGCCAGGACGCAGACGGAGAGGCCAAGACCCTGATCTCGCGGGATCTTCTCGCCACAGTGGGCGGACGCCGGCCTCCCTCCAAAGCGTCGCGTTGTTTGGCTCCGGGGGCGGGGCTAGCCCGAGAGGGCGGAGCCAGGCGGGGGCGTCCCCGGGCCTTGTTGACTCGGGCGTCCTGGCGGGGCGGCCGACTCGGCCGCGGCGCTGTGCGCACGCGCAGTGCCGGCGGCGCCGGAGGCCGGGACGCTCGGGCGCTCCAGCCGCGGTCCGGGCCCCGCCCCTCCCCCCGGCCGCCGCGGCGGTGTTGTTGTGGTGGCGGCGGCCGGCTGCGGCGGAGCTCACCGGGGCTTGAGAGAGCCCGGGCCTGCGCGTCGCTGCGGTGGGCTGGACCGACCGCCCTGGCCCAGGTAATGCTCCTGTCCACGGGTTCGAGGTCGTGAGGGCTGGCGGGGCGCAGGGGAGCCGGGCGGGTGTTGTGGGGTCCCAGGGTCGGGGGACCGGGCGGTCAGGAATAGGGGGGACCCCGCAGTCGAGCAGCTGAGGGCCAGGTTGGAAGGTCCTCAGTCGGGGGACAGGACCGAGGAGTCAGGGAGTCGAAGGGGTTCCGGACGGGGCCTTGGGGTCGCGGACCGGGTTTAGGCAGGGGTGCAGGGGCGCAGGAACCGGGGCGCCCAGACCTCTGTTGGGTCCAGCAGCTTGGACCTGGGCTGTGCGACCACAGAGTCCCCGACGCTGGCGTCGTCAGGCCCCCGCGGGCCCCTCAGGGCCTCCTCAGATCCACACGGTGACTTAGTGTTGTTTTGGTTTTGACGGTAAAGAATGCAACCTACGTAGGCTCGGGGAAGCCTTGGGGGCTGGGAAGGCAATCAGGAGATCGGTGCAGGCGCTGATATTTTCTTTCCGACTCTTTCTGTTGTAAGCCTCTTTGCTCCTGTCTGTGCTTATGCGTTGCCTGTGGTATAAGCTTGGGGACCGCAGAGTAGAAACCGAGGGAGCAGTTTTGCAGATCCAAGATTGTGGTGTTAACTTACTTTGTTTTCGTAGTCCTCTTTTTAAAATCGAGAGACTGTAGCTATGTTTTTAACATTACACATCGAAGAAAGTCTACTTTTAGCAATAGGCTTTCACATTTCTTAATTATGAAAGTACTGCGTGCTTTTTAAGCAGGGGGAGAACATGAAGCAGGTAAACAATCAAGACTACTGCCCTCCCCCACTCCAGTGTTTCTCCTTGCTGACTCTCTGGCTAACCAATCTTTGCTCGCGCTGCTTAGCCAATCAGAACTTTTTCTGTGCATATAATGAGTATGCTTTAGAAATAAAACTCGGGCCGTATCGTTTTGTCAGCCAACAATAAATACGTCGCGGAGAGAGCCTACTTCCCTTGAAAACCGTTTCGCTATGTTTTCCTTGTTGCGGAACAGTTTTAGCTTTTAAAAGGGGCTGTAACGCAGTATCTTGAAAGGTTATGGCGGTGAAACTTTGAGAGTGTTCGCGGCCGTGCAGAACGTTTCATACTAAGCAGGTTGAGTAATATGTTTATACAGAGCTTATTGGTAGTTTACATGAAGCCGAATGACTTATAAAACAGGTTACTAAAATAGCTTACTTTTGTGTTTTCCAAAGTAAATTTAAATTCCATAAGGTCCATAAAAAACATTTAATTCTTAAACATGAAGTGGCAGAGGTGTGAAGGAGAGGGTAAAGTGGATAGTTACTTAGAAGTTTGTAAGCCTAAGGGGGAAAGAAAGTGCCATGGAATAGATATTTTGGTACTTAGATCACAGAGAATAGGCTGGAAGAGTGATACTGTGTTGCTTACTGTTAAGGAAGATTGGACGCCAGCAAAGGCTTCAAGTGTCCTGTGTGATGAAGAGCTGACTTCTTTGTTGATTTCATCACTGGCTTGTGTTTATTATAAATGTACTATGTGTTCATCTTGGTGCTAGCTTCCAGGGAAAACAGAACTGAGATAACCACAAATAGCAGCCTGATTCTAAACAAGATAAAACTTGCAACCAGGATAAAATGTGTAGCGTTTTAGTATTTGGGAGCTATGCTTAAAGGAAACAAAAATTATCCATGACTTCCTAGTTACTCTCTTGCTAATCATATGTTCTTGGTATTTTTCTTCTAACAACCTACGTGGTGTTCTCCCCATACTGTAGATTAGTAAGCAGAGTCTCTGAGAAATTTCTTACAGCTGCCCAGGATCCCAGCGCTTTTTCAGTGGTGATACTTGATTAAACTCAGGCACGCTTAATCAGAGAACCCTTGGGTTCCTGGCTCCCAGCAATGAAAATGATCTTATTTTTTTTTTAAAAAAATGTTCCTTATAAAATACAGGTCTAGACTCGTGTGCAGTGTAAATTGTCTAAGGGATAAACAGTGTGAGCCCAGGATGGTATCTTTTGATGAGATTTTTGGTGTAAATTAAAATATTAGGGCTGCTTGATCTTATGTTGTGCACCAAGAAAATGGAGGATTGTGTGGCTGTATGTACTGCTCATTCCTTGTATATTTAGGTACCATTGTAAATTGCTGCTTATTAAACACTTTGACGGATGACCTCATTTCGTTACGTACTACTATGAGGAATCTAACTGAAGTTCCTATATACTAGTATGCTGAAAAAGAATACAAAGAGAGCCCTGAAAAAGTGTAAAAATACCAGAATTTGCTTGTTTCACTTTCAGTATTTTAGTAGTCTCTTAAAAATATCTCATGGCACTTTAGAGTAAGTCATAATATTATGGTATAACATTCTCTTTTAGTTTTCCAGCAGATGTGACAACTATGTAGTTTAAGGAAATATTGCAAATACTGAAATGAAGAAGATGATTACTTAGAAACTTTCATGTAGGAAAAGACTCAAACAATGTTGGCAATTGTTAAGCGTGAAGTTGGGTTCAGATCTAAGAGTGTTTTATGTTAACCTTTGATTATTTCTTGGTTAGGGGTGTGAGTTTTGGGACAAAATGTTTTTATTGACTTTCTGTCTTTTGGGGGTGGGGTGGGGATGCGACTATAATGCTCTGAGTATGTATTTTCTCAGAAATTAATAATGGGCAGCTTGTTGGTGGTGGGAAGAAATAGGAAGTCTATTTTTGCAGTTTAACCTGAAAAAAAAGTCTTTTTTGGGGACCTGTCCTGAGTAGCTAGAAATAAGTACTTGGGTCCTGCATGTGATAACGTCGGTGTGATCACTGTAGTTTAAAAGCTGTTTGGCACCTAAAAACCAATTTGTGTTAAACAGCTGTTAGGAAATTACATAAAGGATCTGTTTTCTGGTAGTCTGTTTCTAAGGAGAAACTAAGGTCGAAGAGAGGGAAGAATAACCTGAGCCTCGATTCCCAAAATAGGCAGAGGGAGATTGGGAATTTTTTTCAGAGAATGGGTAATCAGTAAAGTGAAATGTGTGGATGGGTGTAAAGAAAAATCAAATTTTAAAAGTTATAGTTCTTTGAGATACTTAAGAAGTACCCAGTTCTGATTATTATTCTGTGTTAGTTGTGTCCTGCTGGGGGGTTGAGATGGAGCAATTAACATTTTTCAGTTACCTGTGAGTTCTCTAGACCTTTTATAATAATCACCTATTAGTACTATAAGTCAAGTCTAAAGTTACAAGGAGCTTTCCAGGAGCTGTAGTTTGTGAAGCACTTTGAAGAACTGTCTCTTCTGTGACTGTGTGCAAGCCAGCTGGTCCTTCTTGGCAGCCCTTGTTCATTCTCTCACTGTCTTAAGTTTAGGTGTTAGTTTGGGGTTAGTTCACATGTTCCTGTTTAAGCTGTGTTCTCACCTCTGGGGATTCCCAGGGAGACACACCCTTTCAAGTGCTTACTCCCTCTCTGTGGAAGCTATTTGGCCTCATTTTTTTCTTAAACTTGTTTTTGTATTCCTGGGTAAACACATCACCTTTGGGTATCACTTGGTTTTTTTGAATCAGTAAATCTGAAATTTAAATTTTTTATCTTTGTTAATTTATTTTTTTTCCTATTTCCTTTTTTATATTATTGACCTTAGCAATTATAGAAATTACAGATTTATGTATTTGAAAGGCAAACTCTTCAGATGCTTGTGATGTCTAAGGCTGAGCCAGGCCAAAGCTAGAAGTGGGACTCATTCGGGGTCTCCTGTGTGGGTGATAGAAACCCATCACCCATGTTGTCCTGGGCTGTGTAGTAGCAGCAAAGCTGGGACTCAGAACCTGGCACTCCAGTAAGGACACAAGTGTTCCTGATTCTGTCTCCTTTCTATTTCTCTAGCAGCCGTGTTTGCAATCAGACACATCTGTATTTTAGATTTTGCTATCCATTCATTGTTAATTATTGCTATTGATTGTCTTAAGGGAAATACAGTTCTGATCATGTTACTTGACTGGTGACAGACATACAAAGAAACCTCAGTACACTTATTGGGTACTTCCTGTGTCCACCATTCTTGTAAGTGCTTTGGTCTTGTTTTTTCATTTTTTTAAAGACTTATTTTGCACTTGAAAGTTACAGTTATGGATAGAGGAGGAGAGCTACAGTGAGAGTGAGCGAGAGTGAGAAAGATCTTCCATTCACTGATTGACTTCCCAAATGACTATGGACATAAAGGCCCAAGGACTTGGGCTATCCTCAGCTGCTTTTCCAGATCATTAGCTGGGATTAGAAGTGGAATAGCCGGAATGGGAACTGAAGGACATATGGGGTGCCACTGCCATAGTGAGAGGCTTAACCAGTTACACCATGGCACGAGCCCCTCATTGTGTCCTCATTATTATGTACTATTATCATTGCTTTACCCGATGAAGAAATTGCAGTTTCATGAGTTTGAAGCTGCTAGTGGGGTATAAGAGCTGAGATCTCAATGCTAAGCATGTGTTCTTTGCAAGTCTGTGGTATTCACTGCTATGCAGTTGCTGTGTGCTTGCTGATTGGCTCTGGAATAAAGTCCAGATATTTTCTATCTGTATTATTTGGCCTTAGTGCCCTTTAAAAATTTACTTTTTATATAGTCAGAGTTAAGTTTACATCCTTCCTGTTTTAGCATCTCCAGGAAGAATGTAAACCTAAGTTACGCTGTGCTTTCTGGTTTTTCATGCATTTTCATTTCTTCGAATTTTTTTCCTTTTTTCTTCCCTGGCATTGAAACCCAAGAGGCTGGCTTGTTGTATATTATGTTTCCTTCGAGAACTCCCACTTTCTAGCTTCCCTGTGTGTATTGGAATGGATTCTGCTTAACCTTGGGTTGGTACTCTTTCAGAATTTGTTTTTGCATACTCTAGAATTTATCATTGGATTGTATAACATTTAAAGGCAAAGAGCATGTTTTATTGTTCCTTAGAAAACAGGGATGATCAAGTGTGAAGATGATTCCTGGCAAACTGCTTGCTCTCATTGGCATCTGAGTTATGTTTGATT